CCAAGGGAGGCAGAAGAAAGGAAAGAAAGTAAAAGAGCACAAGGCCCATTGGTCAAACACAAAGGGGGAGAGAGGGAAAGGACATTTGAAGTCAGGGTTAAACTCCAAATAAGCACACCTTAAACGGGCTGGTGTAAGCTGGCAGTCAGGGGTTTTTGGAGTTTCCCTGCAGGTGTGCCTTTGACAGGCTTGGCCTCTGTAACCTCTCTCTGATCTAGAGTGGGGCCCGGGGTTTGGACACAGAAGAAACCGGTGGCATCTCGCTGCCTCCGAATCTCATTCTATGTCTATTACATTCACACACGCATGCTTACACTCTCTGTAAACACACACACACACACACACACACACACACACACACACACGCAAACACAGTGCCAGACAAGGGGAAAACAAATCTGGTGAGGACTAGAGCAATTGGATTATCACCTCTAAAGGGTGACTTCTTGGCTGACCCCCTTCAGGCTAGCATGCTGAAACAAGACGGAAAATTTCCTGGGAAAACACTCTCCCTTTAAAGAACAGAAGCACTGTCATCATTGTGAAAATACAGCAGCGGCAGCATTAATAGACGTGGAAATGCCCTGTGGGGCACGCGCTCAAATCCCTTTTAGCCATATTACATCAGACCCCTGTGCTCTCCTCATCATCACCACAAGCTCTGGAGTAATCAGCAGTGGAACATGGGTGTGTAAACCCACTGTATAATGATGAACTGATACAACAGAGCTGCACTCTGGCTTTGTTTCTGGCACAAGCCTTTGGGTATAAGAAAGAAAAAGTCACTTCCTTCCTTTCACTTTGGCTCAATCATGATTATTTCCCAGCAACAGCTCTTCCTTTCTGCCTTTTTAATCACGCTGAACTCACTCCAATATAATCTGGTCTTCTTCAGAGAAAGACAGAAAGAGAAGAGAAGAAAAGAAAGAAAGAAAAAAATGTCTCCCCCAAGCTCTCCCTTAATGGTGCAAAACAGACATTCTCCTCAGCTGCTGTCAGAATAATCTTGGTAATTTTTTCCCTATGTTCTCCAAACATTAGTTTGCACATTAGGCTGACCCAGTTAATGTCCCTTTCCTGCCGCGTAGGACCCAGTTCCTGGCCAAAGCTAGGCCAGGCTGGGTTGGGCCTGGGTCAGACTGGGGGTCTGTTCATGATTATGGACCAGAGGGACCAGGCCCCAGCCAGAGCTGAGAGAGGGGGAATAAGAGGAATGGAAAAGGAGGAGATGATAAGAGGAAGAGCGGGAAAGAGGAGAAAGGGCATAGAGTGGTGGTGATGTAGAAAGGTTAAGCTGCTGGAAGTGGAGCTGACTCTATCCTTTTAGAGGTCCTTTGCTTTTTCTGTTGTTCTTTTTTTTTATTTTCTCATGATCTATAGACTCAACAAATGTTACACGGGGTCAGAAGAAAGACAGCAAGACATAAAAAGGAAGAGAGAGAGAGAGAGAGAGAGAGCGGAAGGGAGGAAGGAAGGAGGGAGCTGAGGGAGCTGATCATTCTCTTTAATCACATTTTGGATGAGGGCCAGGTAGTCTGCGGTACTGAGAGCGAGACAGAGGGGTAAGCGAGGAGGAAAGGAGTGTGAGGGGGGAGGAGGGGAGTGGGGGGGGGAGAGAGGAAGAGAGAGATGCAGGAATAAATGGAAGGAGAGAGAGAGAGAGAGGGACTTATGGATAGAGGGGATGAGCCAGAGAGCAGAGCCCCTTGAAACAGCTCGAAGTGCAGCGGCGCTGAAGCAAAAGTGCTCCTATGGCCACACATACGATGTCTGTGTGAGTGTATGTGGGGGAGAGTGACAGCCGTTCCCGTAAATGCCCGCGAATGCTGAATCCAGCAAGAATCTGGTGTTAGAGCAGGAGCAGGGAGAGATCCATTTTAAAACTATGTGCATTAACTATACTTTTCCCCATAGATTAAGCACTCCACATGAATAATTTAGCCTCTCTTATGCTAATGGGATCATGAAAGTATCCCCTCAGTACCGTGTTTTCTACCCCTCCACAGCAACTCTTCTCGGCTTTCAACAATCGCCCTGCCCCTTCCCAACAAAACCATCCCACTGACACACTGCACCGTTTTCACAACAGACACCTGACTAACATGAAGCTTAGCATGTAGCCGCAAGGCATTTCATTGCACATGTTAGCTTATTGAGAGGCAGCAATGTTATCCTCATTAAGAAGTTTTTAAGTTTGTTTAAGTACAGTTTTAACTACTACAGATAATAGTTACAGGTTGAACACACTCGGTTTACAGATAAGATCGCTGTTGCCATTCACAATATTCACACAGCAGCAATTTTACGATGATGTAACGCTCAGAGCAGGAAGCTAAAATTGTGTGATTTTTACTTTTTTTTCTAATGGGGTATCTGAAAGTTATTGTCATTTCACAGCTACTGAAAAGACAATTGAGACAGTGAATGTCTGGAAGGACATTGTGTCACATTTAAAAGTAAAACAACATTTAGCACAACCCATTAGCTTCCACTAGACAACAGCTATTGCTAGTGTTCAACAACGTCTCAGCAAACAATATGTTAGCTAGAAAGTAAAATCCTAGCGAACATAAAGCTCGCTGAAAATGTAAGCCTTTCCAAGTAGTGACACTAGCTTTCAACAACAATTTAAGCTAACTTTTATAATGTCTAAAAAAGTGGCTAGATGTTAAAGTTAGCTAATGAATTGGCTGCAGCTAGCGGGTTATGTTGCTCATTGTGTTGCTAATCAATCAAGAGACAGTTTATTTGTCAGATACTTTAAATCTACAGTATATGATTTACAACCTGTGACAAAGTGGTGCGACTTTTTAACAGTATCTAAGTTTTTCACCTGATATAAAAGAAAAAATTGCCCCCGTGTAAGTATGGTCACTTGACATGGTTTTGTGAGTAGCTTACAAGTAGGACTACTATTCTTACACTTTCTGATTCAGTGTGTGTTTTTTCGTGAGGGGAAGTGGTCATATCCCGAGTGTTTATGTTTCTTCGCCCTGTTTTGTTCAGCCTCTGCCATTACACACTAAAATGACCCAAGCGCACATTCACAACACACACACACACACACACACACACACACACAACCTTGTTGCTTCAGCATTGTGTTGTTGTGTCGAGGCAAGGTGGGGGCACGGTGTAAAAGATTATCAGTCCTCCAACAGCTGGGAGTGAGAGCCATGAAACAGCAGGGCCTGGGCCTGCTTTATTGTTTATCTGTTGTTTATGGGCCAGTGTTCAGCTTTAATTACTACACTAAATTAAACTCTAACAGGCACTTAGAGGGTACCAGCTAACACACACTCATGCGTGCATGCCCGCACACACCGTATATTTAATATACACAGACACACCTCGCTGATCACTTCAGAGCTGAGGTATAGGCTACTAAAACGCGACAAGGCTTCCATCTTGCGTTAAGCACAGACTTTGCTTTTCTTCTTCTTGTTACATTTGTTTTTTCTGCTCCTTCTTCTTGAGCCTAAAGTGTAGCTGCCAAAGAAAAAAAAAAAAAGCAAAGCCAAAGGTCCGGAAAATGCTAAATTCAACAGGCCTTGTTCATGCTGGGACCGTCTAGGCGGACACAGGGAGTCATGTCCCCACCAGGAATGACCCCCCTCTGGTGAGCTCAACCACAAAGACCTTGCTGAGTGGGGCCCCTGGCCAGGGCCAAGGGAGCTCACCACACTCCCCACGCATACACACAAATGTACCACAATACCATCAAGCGCAGCATGCTCCCTCAGAGCCGAACACTCAAGCTCTCCCTCTCTTCCTCCCTTTCCTCTCCCTCCATCGCTGCCTCTCTCCATCTCTCTGGGGAGTCTGTCTATCCGCCGAGCGTGGGGATTGTTCAATTGCTGAGAAAATGTACAAAATGCTTTCTCCTCTCTTCTGTTGAGCCTTTTCCGTCTACCGTAGAATTGGGGAATTGTACAGAAAGCCCCTTTGCTCACCACTCAAGATGTCAACGTGGATTTGGTCTTCATGCATAGCTAATAATCACAAGTGTGGACTGGAGCAGAGGCAAGTGCACACACAGACACAGCTAGAGGGGTAAAACATTACCTAAACATTAATGATTGAATGCAATCGACTCTACTGTGTTTGGTGTGTGCATACATGCAGGATTCTTAATTAAAACTTGGATGGATCACATTATGGACATCAGCTTGGAAAACTCATGCTATCTTAAGGCACACACATTCATCAAGTTTAACTCCCTGCAACTGATGTCTCAGATGTTTCTAGATAAGCTTGGAGGAGTTCCAAAGGACTGTTAATCAAAATGATTTGCGAGTGGGGCCAATGGAGTTATTGTGCGTTACCTTCTGAACCGTCTCCCCGTTAACTGCTGAAATTTGTTTATCTAGCCAGAACATAGGGAGTCACTCTCTGAGAGTCAGTAAGTGAGAGTGCAGAATTTGCCCTGAGGGTGATACTTCTTATTTTTTATTTTTTTGGAGGGAAACTCAGAGAAAGAGAAAAAAAATACATGTTAAGAACACAAGGCGGGGAAAGGTTACTGATCTGAGTATTGTGCTGAAACCTTTTTCGTATGCGTCAGAACCTTAACTGGCAATCTTTACTGACAGCTATGAGCATGCTTCACCTTGGTTTACTGCTTGACAATAAATTATTCCACAAGAGGGGTGATACATATTTGCGCACTTGTTAAATTGTTTTTTGGCACAGGTTCAGAGCAATCCTCCACGCTGAGATACAAGGCAGAGATTGAGGAAGTGGATTCTGCTCACAGAGACCATCTTGAGTTTGTTTGCACTGTACATACAGTGCTTTGTGGGATAAAATAATGAACTTGATTCTACTGTGCATCCCCTTATGAGCCAAAGCAAAAGAGAAAAAAAAAAAACTTTTTACCCTTTCTTCAACATTTCTGGGAGAAACTGAGTCGGATAAGGAGTCCGATTTTCAACTGAGGGATGCTTCTGGATACATTCTGGAGGTAAGTGTTTTTCAAGGCACACGCACATTAAACACACCTTTCAAGATGCACGATGGCGGAAGAGAGTTGATGTTTTTCTTGGCAGCTGAAACCAAAAAAGCACAGTGGGTCTTACTCACTCTTCCTCCCTCTCTCCGCCTCTCGCCCATCTATTCTGTCTTTCTCAACTGATCCACATCATCACCCCTTTTAACAGGGGCCAAGCTGTTAAAGACCCCATTACTGAAGTGAAGCACACATTTCACATTTTCTCTGTGGACCTGAGAGTGTGGACTACAAATTTTGTGTGGAAATGTATTGAGATAGGAGGCGGGTCCATGCGTGGAGTGGAGCGGAGTGGAGGAGAGGTGGAAAGGTGGAGGGGTTGGGGAGTGGAAGGCTCTGTCAGAATGGAAGGGCCAGAGTCGGGAGTCAGCGAGCGCTTCAAGCGTTAACGTAATTGCAAGAATGTGAAAAATGAGGCGGCGGGGCTCCCGAGCGAAGCGAAAGGTCAGAGCATGCCTCACACAAAACAACTGGCTGGAGGACGGCCTCATTAGACCATTAAATCAGCTGCGCTCTCTCGATTTTTTTCTCTCTCTCTTTTCTTACTCTGCCTACTTTTTCACCTTCTCTACCGTTTCACCTCTGTACTTTAATAGCTCTTCTTTTGCCTTCTTATAAATTGTTGCCTCTAGTCTATGCTACTTTCTTTGTTTTTTTTGCCATGAAAGGCTTTGAGCTGGTGGACCTAGCATTTAGCACTCTACAGTGTGGGTCAGGCTCCGGCCTTGATCTAGTCCTGGTCTATGTTGGCCCAGAGCACGGTGCCGTACCGTAACTGTCTTTGGCCCGTATTGATCGGCTGTTACTGGATACGGTGGGGAGAGGAGTCGATAAGTGCTCTGTGGATTACAGGTCACTTGTACTTATGTGTGTAAGATAATCAATAGGCAGTGCATTTCTTCCACCCCATCCCCCCCTCCTCTCTCTGTTGTTTCTGCAGTCTTCATCTCCCATGCTGCCTGCAATTAAAGAGATGAGTGCAAAATATCTCCCCATGTTCTGTCCTCCCTACTGCACTCATCCAGAAGTCTTATCCTATATTCAAGCCAGCAAGTAAAAAATATTTTCACTATTAATTAATCTGTTGATTATTCTCAATATTATTCAGTTACATTTGATTCAATAAAACGTCCCCGAAAAAAAATTGGAAAATGCTCATAACGCCAAGAGCAATGTCTTAAAATCTGCTTTCATGTCCAACCGACAGTCCAAAATCCAAAGCCTCTTTACATACTGTCATAAATGACAAAGGAACGCAGCGATTCCTAACGTTTAAGAAGCTGGAAGCAGCAAATGTTTGACATTTCTGCATGAAGATGACAGAAACAATTAGCCGGTTATCATTATGTTCATAGTTTGTTTTGATTGATTCTCTTAGGATCGAAAATCACTTAATAGATCAACTCCAAACTGGAAAACATAATATTATTCATCCCTCTCTTAGTTTTTTTCTAACAAATGTTTCTGTTACATTGTTTCTGTACACAGTTAAACAGAACCCCCCCGTTGCTTAGCCGAGACCTAGCTAACAACAACTAGCCTGACAGTAGCCTGTGATCCAATCAGCACTGACACAGCTGACCACAGAGGTCTGCTGCGGCCCCAGGTCTGTGGTTTAGAAATGGTTCAGAGTCTACAACTGTCTGAAAAGCTGAAGATGATTTAAACAGCCCCACCACAGACACACATCCCATCGATACGTTTGATCGCTTATCGGGAAAACGATACGGACACAACAAGCGGGTTCACTTTCAGAGCGAGCGAGCGAGCGATCTGTTACAGTACGTGTGTGTGTGTGTGTGTCTCTGAGCGTTTGAGTGTGTTTGTGGGTGTAGACAGTGTGATGAAATTTCATGCAAAACCATGGACACTGCCCGAGGGCGCACAGGGATACAGAAAGAGACCTACAAAAACACACACACACACACACACACATTCTGCAGCCAGTGAAACAGAGTTGTTGGTACAATCAAAACAAGAGGAAGACAAGAAAGGAAAGGCCAAGAGCTCATCATGTGTTCCCTTAGATCAGGCAGCAGTAGTGTTTAATAAACAGTTTTTAACCTCACAGTGTCTTGACGCCTGGCCTCACCTCTACATTAGCTTTTTCATGTGCTTTTGATAATTTATCTGTCAAAATTGATGTGGACCGTGACAAAAACACCAGGCAGATAGCTGTGACTTGCACACGCCGCCTGTAATAAATTCAAATGCGTTTGTTTTGAAATGCATTATTACTGTTTGGCAGGTCACGTACTAGATAACACAAGGCTCACTGAGACATAATTAGGGGCTGTTGTGCATGCAAAGTTAATATGGTTTAAATGCAAACAAGAACTGGCAGAAATACACTATTAATCATCAGCTTTTGTTCAGCTCTCTAAATAGTAACATTTTGGAAAGCCCTTTCTCGAGGCTTGTGTGCAACACTGGCTGTTGCCTGTAGTGGATAAGCTTGTTCATTTTTAGGTGTGACTATGTGTTTACATGGACGCCAGTCAAAAAGCAGGATAATCCAGTGTGCAGAAGCAAGGACTGGGTTGCATGTGTAAAGAGAGATGTGGCATCTATTCATTGTAGATAGCACATTAGACAGGGTTAAAGTGAGGTGTTGGCAACTCTTCCCATGCATGATGATTAATATGTCCCGCATGGATCCGTGCCTGCATCTGTGTGTGTGTTTATGTCTGGGTGTTGGTGTGCACGAGAATGAGCGTGCACGTGCATGCCCATTTTGGTGCTGGCTCACCTTGTTCGCTGCTGTTGTCACCGCTCTGCGAAGCGTGTCCCCCGCTGGAGGGCCCCGGTGTGCCGGCTGAGTGTGTGGAGGTGGCGTCATCATGGTCTCTCCAGGAAGCTGGGTTCTGAGGTTGTTGGTTTTTTTTTTTTTTTTTTTTAAAGAGAGAGAGAAAGCGAGCGTGGGATCCATCCATCCATCCGTGCATCCATCCACATTCCCCAGTCCAAACCGCAAACCAGGAGCAGAGAGAGCAGAGAAGGGGGGAAGAGGGAGGGAGGGACACAGAAAAAGAGAGAGAGAGAGAGAGAGACCATATGAGTATGCAGTAAAAGTAAGAGTGACATCTGTAAGAGTCTACAGGCTCTGTGAGGGCCCTTGGCCTGCCTACATTCTCCTGGCAAGGCTAGCAGACAATCAACAATGCCACTAAAATCACAGATGAATAGAAAGAAATGCACTAAAGCATCTGGCAATAAGTCAAAACACTGTAATCAAAGTGTTTCATTAATGCATGAGAGCAAAACGCAGCGCTGTTAATGTGGCGTTTGATTTCCAAGTGAAGCACTTGTGAGTAATTGTCTAAACACACATGGCAGTGCCCGGAGTTCGTTTATACCGTAACCAATCGAGACTTCCGTGTCAAGTGAGAAATATAGAGGTAAAAAGTCCAAACACACCACAGCCGCCATTAATCATTACCACTGTCAGAAATGAAAATAAGATATGACAGTGATTCTCCAGCTAATCTGCCAAAAACGTGCACACGCCCACTCTGAAATACACACACCCACTGAGGGCTAGCAGAAATACACATAGGCACACACACTAATGACATAATAGAGCAAGAAGAATAAACACACATGCGCACACGCTCGCTTTTCTATATACAAACACATGCTGGAAGAAAGTGTTAAATCTCTGCTGGCTAACTTCAAAGAAATGTCCATAAACAAATCTGTAGCTTTTAAGGCTTCTTTTCTATTTCCTCCACTCCCTCCTCTGCTCATTTTCTCTCCTTCTCCTTCTCTTTCTCTCTTTCCTGGTCATTCCCACTGCACTGTCGCCGCAAACCGGGAAACGGGATTTTCTACTGTACAGGAAAGGCTTTATCAGTGCCACATGAAGGCAGGCTAGAGGTGGAATTTCCTCTGCCATTCAAGTGGAAGAGGGACAGACTGATCACTCATTTTACCACACTTGCTCCGACAAACACACAGGCTCAATAAGCTCTCCCACACAAGAGTTGATAGAAAATCCGTAGCTTACAAAACCCATGCTAGTCTTTTCCAATTTAACCTGTCACCTGAGCACTATGACAAAATGCTGGCCAACGTAAGCCCCAACATTGTCTGGGGGGGTGGGGTGGGGGAGGCCGCCGAGAGAAGGAGCCCCTTGAGCCGAGCCCAAGCCAAACAAACACAGGCCCGCACCAAGGCTTCCCACAAACCTCAGCCCACTTCTCGGTTCCCGCTAAGGGGTGTTTTTCCTCCCTCAAACACACATAAACACATACACATTCATACAAAAGCAGAAGGAAAATGTACATGCTACAGAATATTCCAAGAAAGAGACCATTTTTTTTACCATTTTGTTTAAATTCAGAGTAGTTCCTGACGGAGTTCTGCCTGCCTGCCTGCCTGCCTGCTATGGTGCCCCAGTCAGAGTGAGCTGTACTGGTTGAGGACAGACAGGAGACAGCCCGGAGACTAGAGGAGGTTTTCAGAGGCTATAAGACAAGCGGCTGCCGAGCTCCCTTGGGTGCTCAGTCCTGATGTGCTGCTGTTCGTTCTGCTGCGGAGGCGAGGCTGCTGCTCTGCCTGTGAGCAAGGCCCTTTTATCTGCTAAGTTTTTTGGGGAAGGAGGGCTGTTTTCCCAAACAGCTTGGAGCTGAAAACAGCAGACACAAACACACAAGGCCCTTCAGACCCTCCGCTCCACTCAAGGCCCCTCTCAGCGTCAGCTGTTCGCCGGATGGCAATCAGATAAAGAGCTGGGAGAATTACTCAGAAGAGGGGTAAGAAGACAGGGGGAACAATAGGCTGTGCGTGGGCTTGAGCCCTCCAGAACAAGCAGAGGGAAAAGTGTCCCTGCTCTGAAAGGGGAAGACGATTGTTATGTGTTCATCCTCTGTGCCAACACATGGTACACTTCATGGGAACGAGGTCTGTTGTTATAGTGATTTTTTTTTTTTGTTACTCTCAACACAGCACGCGCTGGGTAAAATCACTAATGTGGGAAAAGCCCATCAAGCATCTGAAAACAGTCTAATTCTGTCTCATGTGACACAAAGAGGCACGACAGAAAGGAGAGGTAAGAATCCCAGACTCCCTGAGTGTATAATGTATTTAAACAGAGCCGGAGAAAATGACTGGGTTCTACTTCCTCAAAATGAGACATCCACTGCCGGCAAGCTGCGAGACAGACCTGAAAAACTGTGCTCACTGCTCTCACGCTCTCTCTCTCTCTCTCTCTCTCTCTCTCCCTCTCTCTCCTTTATACTTGCCAGCCATGGCCACAGCATGGTTTTAATGCAACAGCTGAATCGATAGGACTTAATTTAGCTATCATTGCAGGGTAATGTGTCATTTTTAATGGCGCTGGTACTAAATTAAATTCAAAGACACCTCAGCTAATGGTGTTAAAGGGAATGATATTTTGCTGTGATTTGCTACCCTGTGGATTTAATGGGCCTGTATGCAGGGATGTAGATAAAGCTCAGCTAGTTTGTTTCTTACAGGGTGAAAAGCACACCGCAGCACTTTATATGACTTAATAATATTAATACGTTGGCTCATTTATGATGAACCCCACACACTCCTCTTTTAATACCTGGAAGTCACTTCTCATTCATAACCGCCCTCGTCTGCAAAACAAGACAACAAACACCACAACAAAAGCGTTAACTTTCCACGCTCGGCAAGGCGACAAAAGCAACAGCCTTTCCTCCTTATGAATTATTTAGTGCATCTCTCTGAGCATCAACAGACACCCGCGCCGCGCAACACAAACACACACAACCATTTTGTCACAGCCCTCGTGGGTCTGATGAAGTTCAAACAAGTCGGAGGGGGAAAGAAATCGTGTCACCCAAACAGTCTTTTTCAACCTACAGAAGAATCCCTCGGAAGAAGAATTAGGAAGAAGGAGCAGAAAAAAAACAAAGGGCCTCTAGCCCGTGTGCTAACTCCCCCAAAGCTGGGCATAATTAGGAGTCAAACATGGTTCACTCCATGCTCTCCACTAATTGTGTTAAAGAGCAGTGTTACCAGGAGGAGAATGCCGACGAAAAAAACAACACATACATGAGCAGGCTGAGGATACACACACACACACACACACACACACACACACACACACACACACACACACACACACACACACACAATAGGACTAGATGGAGAGTAAGATACAAAAGAAGCATGGTCTCCAGGGACAGCCGCTTCTATTTGCTGGGGTTAGCGACTGGCAGCTGATAATACAAGTTGTAATTAATATAAAAGCAGGAGACAATATGGGGAGGAAGGCTTGTAGTGGAGCAGGGCCACAGGAGAGCAGGAGAATGCAATGCTTTCTCCCGTCCCCTGTTTCTCATTTACAAACACCTGCCTGGCACAATTTCACTCCCCGCCCTTGCACTCTGCCTACATCCCTAGGAATTTCTAAATAAAATTGATTTAGCGGCATCATTGAATTTCCCTCAAATTCCCCTGGAAGCCGGAGGAAGAAAAAAAAAAAGAAGGCAAGAAATCTGTCGGTGTAGAAGCAGTGTAAGGAAGGCTGCATGGGGACGACTGGCCTTGCGCATGTGTGTATCTCTATGTGTGTGTGTGTGTGTGTGTGTGTATGTGTGTCGTACAGAATCGCTGACACACCAGAAAACACACAGGACCGTAAATCATAAAGCTGACATTTCAAGACACATCTTGCCACATGGTATAAACAGAAAAAAAGAAAAAAAGAAAAACTTCTAACACATTTTCTGTTGGCTTGAGCTTGTAATTATATACAGCCGCCTAAGAAACGTGTAGGTGCACCTCTATTGAACCTGCGACTATTCACAACACCCTCAATTATACCGAATATAAAGAGTGTTTAATTCAGCAGCCGATCATTCAAAGGAGCATGTGTTAACAGACACGAGGGATTGACTGGTCGTGTTCATCCTTTAAAACTTTCTCTGAGGCAAAAACAAGCTTTTTGTTGCAGTAAATGTCAGATAGAATGATGAAGGTTCAATAAAGAATGCTATCACTATAGTGAACCATGTGTTTGGATAATTTAACTCGGCTCTTTCCTTGTCAAAAACAGCAACTAAAATATGCGCTTTCATACATTCATATAGTGACATCTATGTTTTATATAACTGTACAGTTTGACGCAATCAACATCCTCTTTTCATGGTGCCTATGATGTTTGTTTGACTGTTTAACACGGTCACAGAGGTGTTACTTTAATTATATGTTTTAGCATTGAAGTCATGGTTAAGGAAGGTGTGAAGGTGTGTCATAATGAGAGGTGTTCCTAAAACTGGCAATACAAAAAAACTCCTCGAGGATAATGTGGTGATGTAACTCGACATTTAAGATTGAGATTAAGAATTAAATTATTAAACTGACACTTTAGTCAGTTGGGGTTCTATTCAATTGCAACGCTTGTAAATATTTACTTTTGCAACTGAACTGTCATTAACATGAAAGTTGTATTTTAACTCAGGTCATCATACATGCATTAAATGTCCCTACAGCCCAGAAACTGTTTGCTTTTTTATTGCAGTCATTTGGAGCAAGCATGCAGTTAAAGGAAGGGAGTGTGAGAGATGCAACAAGTGAGCCGATAGCCTCTCTGCAGCACTGATTAGATATGCCTGCCAACAGTGCCCAGTCTCTGCACACTAATCAAATAGGAAATGTTAGGCCAGACATCCCACCATCACAAAACAATTGTGTGGAACAGACAGAGTGGCCCAAGTCAGCAGTGCACTGTTTTTTTTTTTTTTTTATAATGGGAAAGAGGAGAGATCCAAACGTGGTCGCTCCCCGAGGAGAACAAAGATAGTTGAATTAGAACACCTCCAAAACGGAGAAATTCCACGCTTCAGCAGGCCGGCTCGGCCCGAGGGCTCAGCGTCCACAGGCAGAGTGCTGAGTTTGTGTGTGTGTGTGTGTGTGTGTGTGTGTGTGTGTGTGTGTGTATGCTGCACCATGCAAAGTGGCGTGCAGAGACATTACTGAGCACCCGTCTCTGCAGATACACACAGTAAATCACAGCATGGGCACAACAAGAACTATTGCATTGCTTTGCTGAACCTGTGACATCACTGCGTCTGACCAATGGTTTACAGCAACCAGAGAATCAAATGTAAACAGAGCAAGTTTTTTTTCCCCATCCTTTTTATTTACTTTCCAGCAGCCATGCAGAGGTAAGATAAGCTACACTATGGGAGCTCCTATCGTTCCCCCGAGGAAGCCTCTCCAAAACAAACGTGCAAACCTGCACACTTTCTGTTAAACAAATCTGAAACTATGCAGAAAGGCAAAGACACTTTTCAAAAGCGTAATGCATATGCATGGAGGGAATGAAAAGCCTTCTGCTAATATGTAAGCTCGACTGAAGAATAGCAGGAGAAGACACAAAGGCTAATTCATTAGTACAGATAATATTCAGACACTGTTAATTCTATTTGCCTCTCTAATTGGATGTAGCACAGAAGAGACAGATATTTTATTCATTAATTAAAAGACAAGAGAGAAAAGCATTGACAAGCACACACACTGTAGCAGCCGTTTACAAATCTACACCGCTCTCTGTTTCTTTCTTTTTTTAACTCCTCCATCACCCTCCATGTGTAATACAACATCTTTTTTTTCTTTTCTTTAATTGGGAGGGGGGTAATCTGAGGAGGGGCGGTGAGTTGGGAAGACATGGGTGGGCTACATGGTTGAGATAGTCACCGCAAGCGAAAAAAAAAAAAAAGAAGGGAAATCAACAGTGTCAGCAAGGACTCATCCTGCTCTCTCTATAACGTAATCCAATCATCGCTGAGACAATGCTGCATTCAAGTGTAAATAAAACACTGCTTATTATGCTCCCATGTCAGGTATGAAGAGGAGGGAGACAGAAAGAGGTTGTTGGGCTTTTTTTTTTATTTTTTAAAGGGAAGAAAACACACACACATATGCACACATACATACAAACAGGCTCAATGGGCCGCCTCCTCCAGTGAAGAGCCTCATCATCTCAAGAAAAACCAACTTTCTCCAAATGAGATGTAGCCCTGGGCTATATATTAAAAATGCATATCAAAGCAAAGAAAAATGGACGTGAGAGAGTCTAACTAAATAAATTAGCATATCTAACTATCAAACCGCCTTCCTCTCCTCAATGGGGAAGCGAGGACAGAGATGAATAATAAAAAAAAAAAAGAAAGAAGCAAATGAATAAATAAAATAAATAAATCAAGACAAGTAGGACAAAAATTGCTTTCAATCCAGCGGCACAGTTATGCAGCCAAATGCATTTTTGTGCATTGTTCTCAGCATTCAAAGCACATTTTAAGCATGAAGAGCTGGACTCCTTTCAATTAGACATGGAAATTACTGCTGAGAAGTTAACTATTTACTACCACGCTTTCAGACACCTCTGTGGATGTTCTTTTTTTTTTTTTTCCGCAGACATGAGGTGCACAAAAAGCTACAAGTGATAAGGAGTTGTGCTTTTTTTTTTGAAATATTACAATAAGCAGGAGGGTGCGTATTTACATCAAGCAGCCATTATTCAAATCAGCTCCCAGCTCAGCTCTAAAAACAAGCAAGGAAAAAAAAAAAATCAGAGCAGCAGAGAGCTATAATAAAAAGTTCATTGGTGCCACAGCAGTGAAATAAATCCCTCAAAAGTTAAAAACCTAATGAGGTGGTCAGTCCAAATGACTCCAAGATGAATGGCTTGTCATGCAGCCTTCTTTGTTTATTGCTGCTCCTGATTCGCTTTATTGGCACTTCTAATTTACTAATTATCAAAATATTTCTCGCGAGCTTGGACCGGTGACAGAGCTTGGTGTCTGAGCAGTGAAGGCACCACTGGAAACCGGCCTGAGCATCCACCATCTGCCATGAAACTAAACAGGCTAGTTTATCTAATCTCTGCAATATAAACAACAGCATGCCTCATTTCTACACTTGTGTTGGAGGGCCACAATATTGCACCGTTTTCCAGACCAACATCGTCATCCACTCCGTGATTGTGTTTTAATGCAGCCTGTGCAGCCTGCCGCGTCGACCTGTAGACGCGCCGGGCTTTTCAAAGTGGGGGGGGGGGGGGGGAATCCACCGCTATTAGGCCGATAGCCAGAGCCAACAGATGCAGCGCGGTGACTTTGCATAACACTTAAATCTGCTTTAATTCCTAATAGGCTTGGCCTTGTGCTGCACTGATATTAACTAGTCACTTTGTCGCATTAACCCGCTCTGTTTTTCCCTTTTACTCCACCAAAACATTAGCTTCATCACCGACATGCAACACGCAATCATTCACAGATATCAACTGAATAGCACACCGTCAGCTCGATCCATACAGCAGGGGAGGGGGGAGTCAGTGTTTATTACACCGAAAATGCACCGATTTAAAACCAGGGAATCGATCTTCAAATTTAAAGCTCCTGTACTTCAGGTGCATATAATTGAATTCAGCATTATGGAGCCTCCAGCCATAAAAAATGTGTGTGTGTGGGGGGGGGAGCAGAGAGGGGAGAGAGCCACTGCAGAGCACCAAACCACACGGCAAATCAATACGAAACAATTAAACACATTAACATCAACAGCAATGGAAGGCCTCCAGACGAACCATCATATGCCTTGTGAACTTGACATTGATGCTAAGCCTTTAGCTCTGAGATCTATTTCAATAGGCTACCACTTTCTCCACCTCTGCAGCACACACACACACAAAAAAAAATCCACAGCTTTACGCACAGGCCCCATCCAGCTCCCACAGCCCCCAAAATATAAAGCCCCTTTCTTTTTAAATATTAGCCTACAGCTAAAGCTTAGCGCTGATACCCTGCTTTAACATTAAACCTTAGTAACAGATAATTGCCTCACATTCATTCTTTTTTTTTCTTTTTTTTTTTACAGCGTGCAACTCTCCATAATGCACGGCAGCAATTTACGCACGTGCACACCCTCCACACACACACACACACACACACACACACACACACACACACACAAACCTCGGAGCAAGCAGGGACGCATTATGCACACATGACTGGTCCTAATCAAAAGACTAAAACAATAACGCAGTCCATTGTATCACATCTAGCTTATGACCTTAGAACATCGATCGGCTGATTTTCCTTGCAGAACAGAGCACGCGCTATTTACAGATGGCACAGCACAGCAGTGTCACACACACACACACACACACACACACACACACCGAGCCGAGGCTAACAGCCCCCAAACTTTGCATTGTGGGAAAAATTAAGCAAATCTGATTGTTTAACAACAGCCGATTACTTGTTGTTTAACGTCCTTAAAATTATAAACGGCCGGGTTATTGTCTACAGTATGAGACATCAGAGATGAATGCAGACACACACACACACACACACACACACACATCAAGAATATAGTAAAATTTGGTTACTTACGTGATCTGCGAGGTTAGTCGACGATCCCGAGAGTTCTTCGTGATCTGATTTTGAGCTGCCATCCCGTTCGTCAATAACTAGATCTATTGGCATTTTTCCTTTCAAACAGCTGATGTACCGGTGGCAAAAATTGTCGCAGAGCTCATGCACCTATATAAAAAAAAAGAGGGGGAGAAAGAAAACACATTTTATTTTTCAGGATAAGGGAAACGCTTCAGCCAAGTCCAAGAATAACTGCAATTAGGGGGGGGGGGGGGCATCATCGGCGGCAAGGAAACAATAGTGAAATTGTTGCAGAGCTTATTATTCTCCTGAGACTGGAGCAACAAGTTGAAGGACAAAAAAAAAAAAAAACAGCATGCCGTTAGCAAAGGGGGAATAATGAGCAGCTGAAACCAAATCTGCAGATCGATAACAATGTGCAACGTGAGCAGACAGGCTCCAACATGTTTTATCAATAAGTCACAGAATTAGTTGGCTCAATAAAAAAAAAGCATATTTTGAGAAAATGAAACACTTCTACAAAATGCACGCCGCTGTATTTTAGAACATCTGATAATAACTTTAAAGCACTGCCAAAAAAAACAAACAAAAAAAAAAACAGTTGAGCCACGTTTAATAATATCAGTTACATTCAAATACATGCTGTGTGTGTGTGTGTGTGTGTGTGTGTGTGTGTGTGTGTGTGTGTGTGTGTGTGTGTGTGTGTGTGTGTGTGTGTGCAGGTGGCGCCATGCAGTAAGATTTAGAATATTTACCTTTTCTAATTCCAAGAGGTGAAATCGTAATACTTGTATGGCTTGTATCATCTGGAATAAAAGAGCAAAATAAGCACAGTTAACATCATTAAACTGAAAAATATTTCTTTTTAAAACGTGTGTTAAGTTTCAATGTAAGAATCCACCCGTCACAACAGTAGGCTATGGTGTGCACATGAGATGCATGCTGTTTTTTTTTGTTTTTTACAGTAAAAGGAAGCTGCATGAAACTTCTTCACACACACTGGTCAGCTGGGTCAGTGTGATGGGAGGACATGCACAATGACAGCGGCTGGTGTGGTCACACAGCTTCTCCTCAGAGCTGATCTGACATCCAGTGTGGAAGCTTTAATCATATGTTCACTTATTTGTTGTGAGATACTGCGGACACTATCCCCCTCCGAAGAAACACGGCAGAGGGAAACCGCACAGTTAGTGGAGGGCAGAGAGGTCAGAGAGTGTGTGCTTACCAAATTGTCCAACTCTGGATTTGATGAAAATAAAGGTTTTTCTGCTCGGACCTAAAATAACACAGCAAATGTCAAAGTTAGTTTTGGGATGTAATGCTCGGAATGTGTCTATTTCTATCACGGTAAAAACAAGTCTAAAAAAAACAAGGGACACGTTTTGTGGAAATTCTGCAGATTTACACACACTGCTATTTAATCATTCAAAAGAAAGTTTCAATGCAAAAGTGAAAAAAAAAAGAAGAGTGCCTTAATGCGGCAAAAACACAACATTATATACATTTTTTTAATGTTTCTAAATTGACCTGTTTGGCAAAGACTGCAATGTCCTCATTGAAGGAGTCTGAGGAGCAGACATCGCCGCCTGCTACGCCGGGCTCCCTCGGAGTACACGTCGCCAACTCGCACTTCTCAAAAACCAGCGCGAGCAGTGGGAATAAAGGGTGACTGCAAGAGGGGAAACACAGTCTGAGCACAAGCAGCACACCGGCTCAACATGCACACTGCAAGAAATGTCCAAATCAACCTGCACATCTCTGGGTGCCATGGCCCGTAAACCTTTACTATTCTTAAAGGAATCATAAATAAAACACAGTCGAATGACATGATTTTACTTTTTGCACGCTGCTTGATTTTTTCATATTTCTTATAAAACAAATCTTCTCGGCAAAAATATAAAAACACACAGCAAGTTAAACTAAATTGAGGATTGGAGATTATCGTTTTCCAACAGATCGTTTGAGTTTTAAATTCGCGTAAATACGCATCTGGAATATTTTCTATCGTCGTTTGGGAAAATGTTGGGATTTTCTTAAGACAATAATGGACTTACTGTGACTGACATTTCTTGCAGTGCAAACTAAAAAACTGTTTAAGAAGTCAACATAACTCTGCAAAAACAACAACGACACACACAAGCAGTCTGTGGCATTTAAGGAAAATTACAAGGTCTCCAAAAAAATAAACTTAAATTAAAAACAAAACATTTTGAGGAGTTGAACTACACAGACGTTTAGAAGCACCAGGGCTTAAAAAGATCTCTTTCTTTTTGGAGATAAAGCTTTCAAAGTGAGAATAAAAATGAGTCTCACTCGCATTAATCCGCATTTTGAGAGAAAAGGTTATTTTGTTAACATTTAAAAGACTGAATGAAACATGTTTTTAACAGAAGAGTGCTTTTAATACATCTTATTTTCTTATTAGCCTTTACATTTGTAATGTATTTTTTGTTGACGTAAATTGAACTCCTCTAAGTACATGAGAACAACGTGAGTAAAAGAGATGAAGGGGATTTACTCTGCACTACATCCCAGATTATAATGATACACTGGATTATAACACTTTCTGTGAACGTGCGGAACCGAGGAGTATCCGTAAACATTTTCTGAAGTGTTTTTAAGAATCAGTCAAAACATCTGAAAACATTTTCTTACATTTTCAGACAGTCAGCTGATTGGAATATATTTTCCAAAGCCATGCAGTGCGTTTCACGCGCAGTGTTCCTGAACAAACTAAATAGAAACTGCTTTGAGAAGTTTTTGAAAGCAACAGAAAAGCGTTCAAACGCGTCTGGACTCTTTTAAACTGACAGGTAATATGTAGAAGTAATTTAAAAAGAAAACGTGATGAGATTGAAGAATTGTTCTGATGTTGAAAATAGTTTTTTATTATATTTCAAAGCACTTTGGGACTTTCGAGCGTCCATATTATTTTATAGCTTGTGTTTCAGGCTCGAGGCTTCCTCTTACTTACTGCAGGCTTCACGATGCCTCCTACAAACGTCTAAAATTACACATCAACAAAACTCCCCCTGACCAACAATAGAGCCCGAAAATTGCGGTCAATCCAGCACAAAACGCTATTTAAATTTAGCGGTGAGGAAGAAACTCCAACGACACAAACTTAGAGAAAAGCAGAAAAGTTAGAAAAATTAAAATATCTGCACGCGGACTTGGCTCGTGCAGACCTTACCCATAAATTTGATCTTTATCCCTCTTTAAAACGTCGTTGACAGCGGAGCCCATGCTGGTGGGCATAACGTTTGGGTGCGGAGCATGAGCTCCGTAGTGCTGGCCGTGCAGCGGCGGTCCGTGGTTCAGGTGGTGGACCTGGGGAAGCGGCCGGGGAGCGTGCGGGTCCCCGTACATCGACGCCGTGACTCCGTCCATCCCACCGTAATGGGCCAGCTCATCGTACTGGGAATAAAAAATAAGAGAAAAGTGAGCGGACTGTCCGGTTACTCTTTAAACAAATGTGAAAAGCACAGAAAGCATGCCGTCTCTTGCTTGAATATACGCAAAGTAGAAACTAATGAGCTGCTGCTGTGAAAATCCGCTGCAGCCACGGCACAAAAAAGTGCCATATATTCAATATGAGAAAGGGTTTCTCATTACCAAAAACATTATAAGTAATGTTGGTCCTCAATTGTGAGTTTGGTGGGTGAAAAGAGCGAATTAGTTTGGTGTCTCCTGTGAAACTGCTCCACGAGTGTCGTGCAGTGTGAGTGTAAAAAGCAGAGGCTGTCACTCTGCTTGAGGAGCGAGGCGCTGCAAAAATGTCAAATACAGCCGCTTTGATACGAATACTTTGTAAATTTGCCACCAGCCGACAAGAGGTTATCGATACGAGGGCCTCCCTACAGTGGATTTCAAACAGGTAAAGTGGAGGAGATTTAAAACCTACCCTTTGCGCCATCAGGCTGCGCTCCAATAAACTCCTGAATCTGTCGTATATTTAATATCCCAGTCCCGGTTAGAAAGTGATTTAGTGGCAAGATTCCGTTTTCAACCAACTTTGCGACTTCTCCTATTCGCCAGTGTGGTTCAGTTGAAATCGTAGCATGGGGGACTTTTGCAATTTTTCTTGTTTTCCCCCTTTTCCTCGCAAAAAAATCAAAAAATGCGCCAAAGTGAAGGTTACAATCGGCCCATCAACAACCTGCATGTAACTAAACTGTCGTGTCTCATGGCTTTTTGCCACTCCAGCTGTCAATCAAAGCCAGAGGTTGTCAAGGTAATGAATGAATGACGGTTGGTGATGATGTTCAAGAGAAGGACGAATCTTTTTAGTCCGTTTTCATCCCGCAAGTCCGCGTCTCCTTTAATGCCTCCAGATCGCTATCTTGTTTTATTATCACTGTAAAAGAAGGAAAAAAAAGCAGAAGAAATTAAGAGATTGCGATTCGGATCTCTCCTTTCTTTCCCCCGTAGGTATTTCGTCTATCTGGCGAAACTGAGATGAGTGAGTGTCAGCGAGTGTTGGCAGGTTGGCTGCTAGCTTGCTTATAGAAACAGAGTCAGTTCGCAGCGCTGAGCGGTGGGCGAATGAAATGACGGATCCCGGAAGTAGTGGTGGCCATAGCCAGTCCTACAGCAGCTCCAGAAAAGAGAGAGGAGAGACCAAATCTTGTGATATGCAGAGTATATGCGAGGCGCAGGGACGGCTTCAACTCCACACTGGGGGTAAAAGGCAAAGCAACACAGCTCCAACTCCCACCCTATTCTTTTTTTTTTTGTTGTTGTGGCGAGAAGAGTCCTAAAGAAAAAGCAGAAAGAACTGAATGAAGGAGGTTTAGCAAGCGCGGACACTTCGGCTGCAACTCTACTGAGTTCAATGAAACATACCACTGAGTAAATTAAACAACAAGAATCATTATTTAGAGTAAAAATGTTCATTTTTGTGCACATTTACGCACGAAGCACTCCTACTTTTACGCACAAAAAACAACTTATATAACTTGGAACATGAATTCATAGGACTCACAAATTATAATAAAGCATTCTTTAGCTGAAATGATCAAGACATCTTATGAGTGCTGAGTTGAATATATGAGCATATACATGTGCACCAGGCTTACTTATTGTCTGTTGTGATTATAAGCCAGTGTGCATCATATCACAGTATTACCACACAATCTTTGTTAATTAATGCGCAGCTCTTTTCAAGCAAATTAAACAACGCGCAGCACCCCTCCAAACCCAAAATGAACTTTTCCAAAGAAGGAAAAAAGCTTTTTGTGGAGAATTTTTGTATGTTTTTTTTGTTCGTCCAATCCCCTGTCTTGATAGAAATCCGTGCCTTACCTCAGAGTAGTCAATTATCAAAGCTCCCCAAGATCATCAATCATGTGAGGAGATTGAAGTTTAGAGGAGGAGCAACAACGCTCCGGCCATCGATTGCACTGAAGCCCCCTTTTGGAGCCTGCATGGGCACTTATACGCACAAAACAGAAGCAGGCCATCTATATCCCCTTTAATATTAAGCTCCATCAATGCTAATAATGGCATCATGGCTGTATTGATAGGTTCTCACATAAAGGCTCCATTTATGGTTATTTTCTGATGGTCGAAATTAATTATTCACAGGTTAGGATGAAGGTAGACACACGCTCAGAGAGAGAGGGGCTGTGGCTACTGTTGGAGGGTCAATAAACTCTCCCAACAAACAAAATGCCAAACAGAGTGGATAGGGGGGCTCGATTAGAGAAATTTCAGGAGTTTTTTTTTACGGTAAAGATTTAATAAATGAAACCGTGACAACAGTTATGTTTGTTGGCATAAAGGGGGGGTGGGAAGTGTGGGACTGCAGGGTTTGACAAACGGCTGTGTGGACATTTCAACGTGCAATACCCCGGGAAGGAGCTGCAGAGCTGTGCGCAGAGAGCCCAGGCACCCACCGTCTCCAAGTCTCTCTTTTACACTCTGTAAACACTGCAGACTCTGCTATTGAAGACTCATATTTTCATAAGCTAAATACTATCGTTCACATTGATTTGTGCGCTTGACTTTTTTTTTTCCACCCCTCCTCCATATGGACAAGCACGGTAAGTAACCTTACGCTGTATATATTTATTTAGACCGCTTTGTTGAGGACGCGCGTGCCTTCACGGCGCAGGGAAGGCAAAGTTTTGCAGGCTGGACTATTAAAAAAAAACGCTGAATTCATTGTTCTTATTCATGTTTGATCTTATCCGCGAAAGCGCACGCTGCAGCTTAAACATCCAAACGCAGGAGCGATTACTTTTTAAATATTCCTCTAGATGTTGAGATGCTGCCGCGTTTTGTGCACATTTATAGTGAAAATATGTGATTTGCCCCCGAGGAGAGTGATGTAAACACCCGAAGAGCGTGTGAAAATAGCGGAGGCTAATTACGCGTGTCCAATGCACGGCTCCACAGAAAGACACCCTTCCCTATAAAACTTCCACTAACGACGTGAAATTTTAAACTCCTTCTTTTTTTTTTTTTTTGTGAACCAGCAATTAACGAGGAGCCATAAACACGAGACATCATCATTAACGATATTTAGGTGAATTCCTCTTCGTGACAGCATGGCACAAGTCGGTGTTTAATTTTCTTAATTTTATTGTAATCACCCAATAGTTGATGAAAATTTATTTTCCTCGCCAACGAGACCTGTGCCAACTGTAACTCCCCTGCGTTTACAAGCAAGATCCCACGGAGGACACCCACCACACACAATTACACGTTTAAATATCAATTTCTTGCAAGTGGCGTTCACGTCTCGAACATTTTCAGGTGAGGACACACAACTCTTTTATGAAAAAATAAAATTAAAAAAAAATCAGTGGATGGCATTAACAGGCGGTAAAATTTCATCTGGTGGTGTCAAATGGAGGTCAGTGTAGGGTTAAAGCTCTCGGTGTCCGTGTGGGACATGGCCAGCTGCGTTTGGGTTCATTAGGGGAGGGAGAGGATCCATTTCAAGGAAAACACTACAGGGACAATCAGCAGGCTAAAGATCCGCCGCATGTCACATCCTAAAGGTGCACCAGAACTTCCACTCACTCCTCTTGTTTGCTCTTAGCAGGACTTAGAATCTCTCTCTCTCTCTCTCTCTCTCTCTCTCCCCCTTTCTCCCTCTTTTCACCCTGCAGGGCTTGTACACACACAAGCCTGTTGCTAAATATGGTGAGAAAAAAAAAAACCGCATTGTTGGTTTTAATTCCCTCAAAAAGATCACTGATATAAAACGAGCTTCAAATCCTCTTAGTGACCTTAAACACTCCTGGAGAAACAATTGGCGCTCAACCACAGGAACAAATAAAATCGCCCTAATCTTGTTTGTAACTTTGTTCTTCTTTGGCCCTCTTCAGTGGGATTGAGATTATGTAAATGAGTCGAGCTAATGTATAGAGGCGCAGAGATAAGACTGGATCATAGACTGACTGCTGGAGAGGCTCAGAGAGTAAAAACCTCACAGTGTGTCTGTTTAGATTTATTTAAAAAAATTAGGACAGCAGCTGGCGCGTCTTTTAAATTTAAAGTTTTTTTTCTGCTAAATTAAAAGCAGCACAGTTTTGATTTTGTCCCAACTAGGCTACAAGAGCAAGGGTGAACATTTTTTTTTTTTTAAATCATCTCCACAAACTGCAGTATGTTTACATCAGCTGTGGACCTATGTTATGATCATTTTATAGTATGTGTTGTAGATATTTGGCTGCTTCGGTGTTTTCCTCGTGCAGAAAGCATTACTTCAGTCATCTCAATGTGAACTCTTTCTGACCTCGGAGTGAAATGTGACTATAGGGTTTCAGAAAGTGGAGTGAGCAACTCAAATACTTGTAAAAGTTTCGCGACTAACTGTAAATTCTTCAGCTCCAAAGCCTCATTTTCCCCTCCACCGATTCTCAGAGTCTGGTGTCAGAGAGGGTGGAGAGGGAGGAGGGGGGAGAGAGACAGAAAGAGAGAAAGAGGAGGCCAGCAACTGAATGTAACTGTGGCTTTTCCTCTTCATAGACTCGTTAGGGAATAAGCGGCCATGTAGCGACACCTGGCGGTCACAGTGGACGCCGAGCTGCCGACAGCTTTGCAACAAATGAGAGAAGGCCCAGAAAATAAGACAAAAAATTATTCAGTCAATTTACACAAAATCGATCCACGAGTATAATTAAAATACTGTTTTTTTTTTATTCAAACGGAAGTGGTTGCAATCAAAATAATATTTTTTGGCCACATACGAAGTTAAGTTTTTAAAGAAATAGCATTCAAAAACTGTAGATTTTGTTTATATTACTTTTTCTCAAATAATTATTCGAACTTTTGTTTCTATTTTATTTCCGGAAGTGCTTTAACTATAAATTCAGATGAACTGTTTCCACATTTTACAGTTGATGTTTATTACAAGACTTTGACTGTGTCGTGAAAAGAGGACGAAATGTGACTTTTTATTTGTGTATACTTTCTCTTTAAATGCATGAAACACATTTCTATTCATTTATTCGAATTTAACATTTTTAATAAAAAAATGTTAATCGGTATTTATTTGACCCAGTCTGATTAAAGTATTTAATATGGAGCTTTCTATACATCCTCAAAGCACACATATTTGTATTATTGTTGCAATATTTATTTTTAGCCCATCTGAACAAGTTGTATTTGGCTATTCGCCCTTAATGCCCTTTCAAAATAAAATTAGAACAAATAAAACCATTAAGAGTAAAATGATCCTTTACTCAAGAACTAAAAAATGTAGGAAGAAAAATTAAACGTTGATTTAAATTGTTTGTAAATAAGCGCGAGAAGGTGTTCATAAAATATTTAATAGGCATATTTATGTTGTAAGAAAATCTTTAAAAAAATCTTTTTATTTTGGTTTAATTATTTCAGCTTTCGAACTATTTTCCAAAAGAATTTCACAGCTCAATCGACCTTTCCATAGCGTGGAATAAAAGAAATAGTTCCTCCGCTGTGTGCAGCCTGCAGCTCCGCTCGGCTGTGACACACTTGGAGCAGGTCACCGCCGAGATTAGAGCCCGTCGTTAACGCCTGTGCGGAAACACCAAATGCTGATTTAATGAGCTTGCTTTGGGTGTTTGTCCCAGAATACCTGGTGTGCATGTGTTAGGAACGCCACACACTGTAATCCCCGTGTTTCCCCCCTTTAACACGTGGCTTTAGGGACAGACAGCCTATACCCCTGCATATATAGGCTCTTATGGAAGATTTGAGTGTGATTTCCTTTTTTATTTCGCTTAGATTGAACGGGTCGGAGCCTATAAGGCCCGTATCCAGCCACATTACCACGTGTAATTGAGAGAAGTTTAAGTGCAGGCCGGGAAAGCGAGGAGTTAATAGCGGTGACCCTCTTGCTGTGCCTCTGTCGCTCATCATTTATCAGGCTTAAGGGGCTTAAACAGGCAGCGCAGACCCACCTTTTATTACATATCAAACCCTCTCTCTCTTATCTACATTATAGGAAATACATGCATCGTTGCCTGTTATGCGGATTTGGAAATAGAAACATGTCCAATAAAGTCGCCCTCCTCCGCTGATCACAGGAAATATGGCTTTAGGCGCTGTGCAGACAACCCCAGCGATTTAAGCCTTTATTAAATTGTCTTAATTCCTCCTCCTCTCCACTTCGAAATGAATCGAAAATTCCGCTCTTGTGTTGTCTGTCCGGTGCGGAAGCTGCGGGGGAACGTGGAGTGCGGGTGTTTTTTTTTTTGTTTTTTTTTTCCACGGTTCCAACATGATTAGAAAGTGAATAAAATTTGCAACAAGAGTTAAAAAGCATGTCAGCCTCCGAGTGCGTGAGAACATGGAACAACGTGTCCACGTCTGGAATAATGCATGCAGCGTTGAAAGTGGGAACATTTAAGTAAGGCTGTGAGGAAGATTTTTTCCCCCTTATATCCAGTCCTAACTTACTCACCAAGGAAAGCTGCCTTATTCCCTCCTTGCAATTAATTAAAGGTGAGAAAGCAGACAAAACTTAAAGGCGTGAAAAGTTGGGATATATTTAGCCTTGTGTGACGTTCTTCTTTCTGCTTTATTTATAGCCCTTAATGAATTAAATGTCTTTTATAAGAAGGCAATTAAAACAGCTGCTGAGTCTTAACCTAAAAGTGTATTTTTGTGCTTAAGTAGAAGGTTTGAGAGGTTATTTCTTTTTAGCTGTCCTAATTCATTTTTATTTGATATCTGGGTGTAAGAAAAGGTTGTTTTTCTGGCTGGCACAGTGTTTGAGTTAAACTTCAGGGCCAAGCCTCAGTTGTCTGCTGCTTTTTTTCTCCAAGGAGAGCTCAGTCAGTCAGCCTGAACGCAGCTGCATTCACAGGGAGTGACCGCTTTTGATATTCTGGTCACACAACAGAGTAAACACTGCTCTCCTGTTCAATAAACATCATTGACAAGGTGCCATAGCCACATATTCCAAATACTAACCCCCCTTTGAGTTTACATTTTTTAATGAAAGGGTATTTGTTTATATTCTAATGCAGTCTTTATCATTTTTATTACTGGCAAAAAAAAAGTATATGTTGTTCTGTGACGACGTGCTGTACTGAAGCTTAAATATAACGTCAATAAAGAATAATTAACTGTCCTTTGGTCGTCTCTTCTTCTTTGTCTCTGAAAGGTGTGTTTTTTTTTAGCTACACACAAGCTCAGAAGTGAAAGATTTAACTGAATTACTACACACACACTCTCTCTTGCACTCTCTTTCTCTACACACACACACACACACACCACAGACTGCAAGCTAATCAAATGACTGAACCCCAGAGACAAAACTATTCATTAGACTTATAATAAACTTGCACTTAGTTCATCTTCCCTCAGTGCCTGACCTCTTGCTTCCTCCCGTCACAGCATGAGGCAGTCCAGGCAGAAAAAAAATGCTTCTCAACCTTTTTTTTTTCTTGAGACAAAAAAGGTGTCTCACTCACGACTCCCTTAGTTTGGAATGGTTACAAAAAAGCACAATGCAGGCAAACAAATGTGGATAGTTTGTTTGCTTTCTCTCCCCCCACCCCCCCTCCTCCTGTTTACATTCTCCCCTCTTCTCCATCTCCTTTCTCTCTTCTCCTTCTTTCCCCCTCCGCCCTCAACTCTTGGTTCTGCAGGAGTTCACATGATCAAGCAAGGTACCCAGGTAATTATCCGGCATTGTCAAATAAAGCGGCCGCTGATTCAAATGAGCAGTGAAATATCAAAGAGCGGCGATGCCTTTGCAGCCACTACTTATCCACACAGGAGACAAGAGAGGAGATCTGAGAGCTCGGGGACCTGCAGCGAGGCAACAACAACACTCAGCCGTACCTTCTCTGGATAGATAAATATCACCAGCGGAAGCAAAAACATGCCCAAGTTCACTAAGAACACAGATTGTATTTGTATAACATCTCCTACTTGGCCATTATTAGCTTGTTTGTCCCCTTTAAAGTGGTCTGCAGTGCAGCTTTAACAAGGCAGGGTTTTTTTGTTTTTTTTTTGCTACACTCCCAGATCTTCCCCTGTGTGTGTCCTGCTGTGTGTCTCTCTCAAAGGTCAGGAATTCATGAATCCCGAGCTGTCACAAGCAGAGCTGTCGTGCAATCTTATTCCATATATTTCTTTTTTGGATCAGATACAAAGGGAGGAGTCAAGAAGAAGCTGAGATTAGAAGTGAATAGCGCATTAATGTCTGGCACTGCAAAAGTCCAAAGTCCTCAACCTAATTGGCCCAGATAACCGAGGCAATCATTTTAATTTGTTATATTTTCCTCTCTGCAGAAAGTTGCTCTGACTTGAAGAAAACTTTTTTTGAAATCAGCATGCACTACTTTTTCTTTGTATGTCTTTTATTTTTTTTCTTACAGCATAAACTGATCAACTTAATCATTTCTTTTTTCTGCTGTGTAATGACGCCTTGATCCTGCCAACGAGACCTTTGACACCTTCGACACAAGCAAGTGGAAGGTGATCTGGATGAACAATGTCATCGCTCTGGAAACAAAACAGCCCGACGAGAGAGAAAGCTCATTTCTGCTCCGGAGCAGACAAGCTGCGTCCTGGGATTTCGGGCGGGGAGCACACAGAAGAGTACCTGTAATTTGACTTGCCACGTCTAAATGGAAGTTGAATGGGTAACATTGTGCAACAACAAATAAAATGCTCACAATGCTTTCCTGAGTGTTTTTTTTTTGTCGTGGTTGGAGGCGAAATAGGGTCGGTGACGATGTTTGAGTGTTTAATGCAATAAACACACAGGCTTCCCTCCCTCTGGCGTATGGAAGGCTCCCAGGGACACTTTTGCATGTAAATATTCATAGGGAGATGGGGATGGGCTATTAATTATTAAGCACAGTACAGAAGTGTAATACTTCAGCATTTAACGCATGAATCTTATTTTCTGTTTTATTTGCTGCACCTGAGGAGGAACATTTTGCGAGGTGAAGGGAGACATTTTTCACAAAATCTCTCTCGTTCTGAGGCCGGATGAAACTAAGGATGTGCTTAATAATGACGACTTTGAATAAATAGCAGGTAAAAGTTCAGACGTGGGCTATACATAATTCAAATCGGAGCTGAAAGGCATGTTCAAGTATATTTCTCTCTGCTAACCTTCTATCAAAAGTAGTGGCATGCTGTTAAAAAAAATCTTCTTTCTTTTCACATTTTTGTACTGGGAAGCAGAAGTTTGAGGGCTTTTTCGGAAAGTTTCCAGGTGAACTTCACGATTCCTGCAGCTCTTTACCTCTGCACAGCATCATGACAGACTGACACAGCAGTGATGGAGCTCGAGTGAAGCCACCAGTGAAATGTTTTTAGAGGTCCATACCTGAGGTTTCACTCCTACAATGTAGAGACTGGAGACAGAAGTTAGATAAAGGGCCTAACGGTGTATACCTGTGGTATAAAAACGACACAGTCAGTGTTTGGTTTTGGTTTAAAGACGGCCAAACATACATCTGTTATGTATTCAGTTTCTCCTGTTTCCTGTGTTTCCTTTTCGTATGACACTTCCAAAATTTGCAGATTCGAAACAGAACAGACTTTTCAATTACATGCAGCAGAAAAAATAAAATGACCTAGATACTTTCAGGTCTTTGAAGGGTTCACATCGTATTGTGCCTCTGACAGAAATGAACCAGCGATCCACATCATCTGCCCTGACACGAGTCAAAATCAAAAAAGGAACACTGCAGTTCAATTTCGCTTCATTCGTGCCCCGAAAAAAAAAAAAAAACCTCCAGTAACATCTGAGTGGAATTGAATTAACAATTTCCCTAGCTGATTTGGTCTTTTAAAGCCCTCATTACACAGAAGCATTGTATATATTACAAAACCCCTTAGAGGAATATGGAACGAGGAGTCTATGTTCATCCCATCATCACCAAGTTGTAATATTCTAATCAATTAGCATGGATGAGCTAATTGTCCAATCTCTCACTTGCTAATTAACCCAGGAAATATAAATGGGACAAACTAATGCACCATTTTTTTTTTTTTTTTTTTTTTAAAGGGGATGCACAAATTGAGCTCACGCTTTAGTTAACGTGGTGGCGTTCTTCAGAGAGTCGTCAATATGTATGAGCTACATCAAAGCCCAGAGACAGAAATGAGGCCTGCACAAAAGCACAACACATTTCAAGATCCACACAGTATGCAAATGTGTTGGTTTTTGTCGAACTCCAGTGTTTGCATAAGTTGCGTTGACACAGTGTACTGGAGCTTTTCTGTGCCACTTGTGTACAGACGACAAAACACGCCGTCCTCCGGGATGTTTTATTTTAAAAGGCACTCTCGGAGCGCTGCATAAACACACTGAATCTCAATGCATTTTTGTTAGCACGCTTCTTGTTTTTCCCCAAAAAATCGCTGCAGCCTAAATGTGTCTGGAATTACATAATTTGAGGTAGAGCGGGTGTGGGTTACAATGCGAGTCGTGTGGCCCGTCATACTTCCGTGTGATGTGGGTGTCACAGTGCAGACAAAAAGGGCGTCAACACTTGACCAATCCTGACGCTTGTTTTTCGCCGATGTCTAAGGGCAACGCAAATAATAATTACGATGACTCCAGACAACAATCGAATACCGAATGAGACGCTTGAGGGGAAAAAAATCACAAAGACGCTTGCTTGTGTGACTGTGTACTTTTGTTCCCAAGGAGTGGCTCTTAAGTGACTTACAGAATGATTCACCAAAACAGGAAACCAGGAAATTAGAACGCTGCAGTAAAAGCAGGTACAGTGATTGAATGTACTTGAACATAAATGCAAAAATCAAAATAAATCCAGAAATATAAAGATACTGCTCATGCAAAGACATTAAGATGTGTTTGAAAATGTATCGTACTCAGTTAAGAATGCTGTGGTTTAAAGCCTTAGACGTAGAAAAGGATGAGGCCCAGAATGGCGGCCCAACTTTTTTTTGTTTTGGCTCTTCGCTCCTTTGTTCTGTTGTTGTCAAATTTGAAATTTAATACTATTTTTCACCTGACTCCAACGCGCGGAAAAGATATCCTGCGTTCTCCTTTAATATTCACTAGTTGTTAATTATTAAAGGTATGTATTTGAATTATAAATATACTAGTTATACAGAAGTAGGCAAAGCAGGCATATAGCCCGAGGCTAAATTCCTCCATTACCCATTATTTTCCAGTCTGCCGTCTCCATATGCCTGCCTCCTATTCCTATGTCATCTCAAAAAACACTGAGGCATTCCTTTGTACTTACCTACCCCCCTCCCCACTTTGGCCACCCTAAAAAAAAAAAAAACAGAAAAAAAAAAGGAAAAATCTCCTCCTCCATACATATGTGTGCTGCTGCCTTGAAGTAGGATGTCACACTTGTCTTAAATATAATGAATCACTATCTTCAAGGCATCCCTGGATCCCAAACACTCCCCGCAGAAACCTGCCTCGTCCTCCCCCGTTTCCCGAGCCTTCCTACATGTCACAAATCATCCGTTGTGGAGGGCTCTCCGCTAAATCATTAACATTGTCAGAAATGACTGGGCCAAGAACGGGATGAGCCCAGAGATGCAGCAGAGACGTGCGCAACGTATGATGGGAATATGGAATGGTAAACAAAGAGACGCAGCCTTCTACCCGATCTCTTCCCTTTTCCTCGCCGTTCCCCTTTCTTTTATTTGGGTGTTTTTTTTTTTTCCAACTTCTCTCCTCTTCCATGGGATTTCTGAACAACAAGAAAGACGTACAGTGTGAGGAAAAAGTAAAGAAACTGTCAAAGAAGTTTAACAACTCTTGTGAAATTTGTAGCCTCTATTCTCCAAACTGCTGCAGAGCTTTTCCTTGAAGCTCTTGCTTTAAAGTAACACACTCTATAAAAAATAAAAAAAACCCAACTGTGTAAGATTATATCTCTGGGCCGTTTTAAAACAAGTATCTTTGAGTCCACTGTTGAGAGGATAATCAAAAATATGACTCCTGTCCCCTCATTCTGGTGGTGTTAACCTGAAGTAGCTTTGTTGTTGCAGAATGATAATTCTCCTGTCATACAGCATTATAGTTTGTTCCATACATGCGTCGGGCCTTAAAAAACGCAAGCTTCCACATGTGAAGCTTCTTATCAGGCGATTTCCATTTAATGCTATAGCCCCACTTACGCATACACTCCTACCTATGCTATCATCCATCAAAAGGATTACTAATTTTCCTTCAATTTCCGTTGCTCTCCCAAGAATCTAAAGGATGATTGATACTAGACGGAGGAAAAGCACAGTGGTACTGTTTTTAACCTTGCTAGAGTCATTAATCCGCTTTATACCCATGAAGGTAGTAAAGGAGACAATGAATTAGTCATTAAAGCACGGGTCAGTTTATTAGAATTCCTGATTGAACTGTAAAACGACTTCTCCCGGGCTGCCGCCGAGCGGATGGAGGAAATCTGCAAAACCAGGGAGAAGGAAGGAAAGAAAGAAAAAAAAGGAGCTGAGGGAAGCAGACAGAAGAATTCCTGCAGGAGTGCATTTTCTCTTCAGGGAAATGACAGAGGGGTGTAACAGTAGCCATCGTTCACCTGACAAAATAAGGCCTAATTAGCACACGCTGCGTAACTGAACATACAGAAGAATCACGTTGCCGAAGATGATCAAAGCGTCGGGAATGATGCTGGCGTGTCAGATGACGAGAGGGGATTCACGTGCGCAGACATGTAAAGCCACAAAAACAGAAGTGATCACTTATTTGGTTGAACTTGCTCCACGTTTCTATGGCAACATGTAATGTTTCCTGTGTGAGTGCTGGCTTATGTTTGTCACCATTTATTAAGCCATGTGGTCGTTGGCTCCACTCCACAGGAAAAGTTCACGACGGCCTCGGATGTTTGGTGCTCCCGAAAACGGAGGAATGATCTAATGACCGCTGGTGGTTTGAGAGGGTTTGTGGTGCTGTGAAGGGGAGGGCTGGAGGGGGTCACAAAGGGACCAGACTGGGAGGATGTAATGGATAGGATCAAAACCAAAACACGCCGCAGACTTGGCACCGTTGAACAATGGCTTCAACCTGTGGTGGACTGGAGTAAAAAAAAGTTCTGCAACTGCAGGGATGTAACTGCTCTGATGTCACGCCAGAGCTGTTTTAAACATTATTTTAATAATCAACAAACTCGCATCTATAATCACAGGAGCACCTTTCACGTTTAAGTGTTACAGTCAATAGTTCCAGCTTGTGAACACCATCTCCCAGCAGCCTTCACAAACATGTACTCCTGTTCTAAGAAAGCAGAGTGACAGCTGAGATATGCCATTATTAGCCAGCATCCTCCCTCATGTAAACATCTTACTCCATTAACTGCCGATTTTGCAGCCTGTGCAAACTCAGTCTTCATGGCAGCAAACAGAATATTGTTTATTTATGTAAACAAGGGTGTTTGCGAATGGGATATGAAGCTCAATATAAACAGACTGAAACCAAATGGGACCCGAAGTAGAGACGGACGGCTGTGGAAAAGTCAGCATGTTAGATGGGGTTTTTTTTTTTTCAGATTCTGTAAAAAAAAGTTTGTATGTGCATGAATTGTGCCCTGTGAGAGTGTTTTGAAAGCAATCACAGCTCGAGGGCTTTTAAGTGCTGATCGCGAGCTGTCACTCAAAGCAGAAAGGCCACTTATCACAGTGGTGGACTTGAGACAAGCTGGCAGGGCGATGAGGTTTAATGTTTT